ATTTTTGTTTTTTATAATCCAGAAGCATTAGATTTATTACTGTTTATCTATTTACAAATATTAAGTGAATATTTAAGCTGAAATTACATCGACCAGTGGAGATAAGAAATGAACTTTTCCTTCCGGCCTGGTTGTGTAAAACGGAAAGTTGCACGCTGTTAACTTTATTACTTGTAAGTAGTTAATGACTTTAGGGAAAGTTTTTTTCATGAAAATTGATTAGTAAATGAATAGATCTATCACTTTTTTTAACTAAATAACACATAAACAATATTTCAGTCTGCTATAAATGATCCGTGTGAGCGAATAACAAGGATTACACCGTAGAGGTAGTGATATATGAATTAAGTCAGCTATAGAATTAGGAAAAAACACCAACAACACATGAAATCATGTTGTTTTCTAACTTACTATCGAAATTCGAATAATGAATTTGATTATCCGTTATGTTTGCAGAATATAGTCGCTGAATAACAGTAATTTCCCCACCTTGTGTAAATACTGAAAACTTTCTCGATTTTATACAACGCAGATTATTTAAGAGTGGTTAATAATCCTTTGGCTATAATTTAATCATTGTATTTTAAGTTCTTAAAATATGATGTCATAATTTCGCTACTGCTCATACTACTAGAAGGATAATTAATCCATTTGGATTTCTTAGGTTACTGAAATTACGAACTCCGTTATCAAAAAAATATTAGCAGTTCCATACGACTGAATTTGAAGGTATTTTTCAGTGTTGATATAATGGCACTTGTTTTAACGGTAATTGTTAATTTCATGCGTCTAACGAAAATTGCAACACATTTATTTTGATACCTAGAATCGAAATCTTCGTTTCTAGTTATTAATTCCAAGATAATGTTATTCAAGTCCATGGATCCCGAATATAGAAAACATTTGCACTAGACGGTACAGAGAAACGCCCCCAAATGCCCTGGTATGGCCGAGAGTGGGGTGGGCCCGCCCTCCCTCTCGAAATGCTCTCACATGGCCACGCGTATACAGCCTCTGCCAGGGAAGTCCTACTCACTGCCTTCTCGTGGCGGGGTGTTGTTTACGAAATTGAGGGGACGAAAAGCGAATGTCCGGCGCTTTAACCGGACTCTAAATCAATGGTGCACATGGGCTCCAGGACCCTGGGGAACAAATGGCGTATGGACCAATTGTTGGTCACCGGCTGACATGGGACTGCATCTCCTCACGATGCTCCACTGCCTTGTGGGTCAGACCTTTAGGTCAAAGGCTCGGGGTGTTGCAATCTAAGAAGACCACCTGCTTCGGTCTGGGCACCCGGGCAGTATCACATCCCACACACAAACAGAATGAGATGATGATACTTACGGAAAATACTATTCTTCCTTCGATTAACAGTCAAACGGTTCACATTATTATTATTTACTACGTCATTTATTCACTATCTTTTAGTCCCACTTCATGTATACTTATTTTTCGACCTATACAGCAGCTCGCCTATGGTGGAAACTCGGTTTTATCTAGACGTTCTCGAGTCACTGACCGGTTGAAAATTGAATGCTACCACCAAATACGAGTACTGAAGCAGCTTTTCTGAAACTATGTGCACCATTCAAACTGGCTGCCTTCAAAGTTTGCACAATTATGCAGGTCGGACAACAGATAGGGCTGGCTGTCTTTGGAAAGTCTTAATATCGACGTTTGTTGTCTATCTGAGACCCGTATTCAAAACTCTAGTGAAGTACTGCAAATTCACTTTCCATCTCTCGCTTCAAAAAGCTTGTTTTACGTGCGCTTAGCCTGAGACCCTGTGGCACTTCTTCTGGTCTTGCTGGCGTTGATGTCGCACTAAGCGCTAGAGCTGAGACAGCACTAATCGATTGGATCCCCATTAACAGTCGGTTATGTGCTGTTAGATTAGAAAGTTCCATCAAAGTGAGAAGAAATCGGCGTGAGAAACGATGTCTTTTCGTCATCTCCGCCTATGCCCCGACAGATTGCAGCCCGGATGCAATCAAGGATGAATTCTACCACCAGTTAATCGTTCTTCTCCAGTAATACTAGCCGGAGACTTGAATGCTCAGGTCGGGCGTCTAGGCACAGAAGAGTCGTTTAGGTGGCCGATGGGGACTTGTTGGTCACAGGACAGATAACGGGGACCGTCTACTGCAACTGTGCACAGACCACAACCTGTTTCTGGCTAGCACTAACTTTCGGCACAGTCATCGCCGATATGCCACCTGGCGTCCTTCTACTGCATCTCAAACCTGAACTAAAATTGATCACATCGCGATCAGCAACCGCTGGCGTGGTTGTGTACAAGACTGCCGCTCCTTTTGGAGTACCTATCTGGATTCTGATCATGCCCTGGTCCGCGCCAATCTTACCTTGCTTTTCAGTGGACAACGAAGTGACTGCCACCAAAGGATTGATGTCAGCAAGGGGGTTGCAACTTCTGTTGCAAGTAAGTATCGAACCGAGCTAGCTTCTAGGCTAGCTACCATTCCACCGAAAAGTATGGATGAGCATTGGTTGCAACTACATGACGCCATCAAAATGGCGAGTAAAGCCACTTGCGGTTTCGTGAAACGTCCCCATTATAAGCACTGGGTTTCTTCAGGCTCCATACAACTCATCGAAGCCCGTTAGTCTACTCCGGGTGGCCGTGAGTTTGACCACAAACAAAGGTTGTTACGTAATGAAATTGGGCAGAGCCTGCGTAAGGACCAAGAAGCTTGGTGGTCGGAGCGTGCTAATCAGCAGCTGCATCTGGTAACTACCGGAAGCTCTTCCAACTCATCCGAGCCACTGGCAGCAAGAAGTCTGGTGTGAGCGAAACAATCTGTGAGGATGACGGGATGCCAATCACTAACATCCATTGACGTCTTGGACGATGGGCAGAATTCTTCGAAGGGCAGTTCAACTGACCTGCTGCTCCGGCAACATCGGTCAGACTGTCCTACCCTCCATCGCCGGTGACGACTGATTCACCAAATGAGGTGAAAGTTCGCAGGGAACTCCAACTCTTGAAGCGCTACAAATCACCGAGCCCAGATGACTTACCTCCGGCTCTCTTTGAAGATGGTGGTGACTTTCTGGTTAAGGAACTGACGACGTTGTTTACAAGAGTCTGGGAACTAGAGAGTGTACCAACGTCATGGAATGAGTCGATAGTTGTCCCTATCTTTAAGAAGGGTTCACGTCGTTCCTGTAACAACTATCGGGGGATAAGTCTACTTCCGATTGCGTCCAAGCTATTGGCTTCCGTCATACTTCGTAGGTTGTTCAAAACCCGAGAAAGATTGACTCGCGAGGAGCAGACTGGGTTTCGTCTTGGTCGTATCTTCACCCTCCGCCAAATTTTAGAACACCGTCATACTTATCAAAGGCCAACAATCGTGGTGTTTCTTGACATCAGGGCTGCCTTCGATTCGTTGGATAGGACTGTTCTCTGGGATAGTCTATTGAAGAAGGGTGTGCCTGAGAAGTTTATTAACATCTTAAAGGTCCTATATACAAACACCTCAGGCAGAGTGAGGGTATACAACCACCTCTCTCCATTGCTCCATTCGAGCAGTGGGGTTAGACACGGTTGCTCAGTCTCACCATTCCTCTTCAACTTTGCCATCGACGACATTCTGGAAACAGCTCTGATGGATGTAAGTAATTGTGGTGTGGATCTGCTACCTGGAGAAAGACTTCTCGATCTTGAGTATGCGGATGATATTGTCTTATTGTGTGATAATGCCCAAGCCATGTAATCCACACTTAATCAGTTGGCAATCAGTGTCCGTAAGTATGGTATGTACTTTGCACCTTCGAAGTGCAAAGTACTTCTACAAGACTGGCAGGATTCTAATCCTTTACTCACCCTGGATGGTGAACAGATATAAGTAGTCGAGAAGTTCGTGTATCTAGGTAGCTGCATAAGTGCTGGTGGGGCGTGAATGATGAGGTATAATGAAAGCCAGAGTGTCTTATATCAATCTGGGCCACCTTTGGCGCCTTCGTGATGTCAGTTTGGCTGTAAAATGTCGGATCTACAACGCGTCGGTGAGAGCAGTTCTGCTCTATGCTTGTGAAACCTGGCCTCTCCGGGTTGAGGATGTTAGACGACTCTCTGTGTTTGATCATCGTTGTCTCCGAAGGATTGCTGACATCCAGTGGCAACACTATGTTAGTAATGCAGAGGTTCGGCATCGTGTGTTCGGGCGCAGAGACGATAATCCAATTGGTGTCACCATCTTGAAACACCGACTTCGGTGGCTTGGACATGTTCTACGAATGTCGTCCTAGAGCATTCCACGTCGTGCATTATTTGCCAACGCTGGGACTGATTGGAAAAAGCGGAGAGGTGGTCAGTGTATGACATGATGTCGGGGTATGAAAGAAAGCTGCAAAGAACTGACTTCTGTTGGTCCTTCACGAATCCCTGGCTGGGGTCCGAGAGATGGTGAGACACAGTGGCTAGAGACGTTATCAGATATGGCTCAGAATAGAAGCCAGTGGCGATCCTGCTGTAACCTTCTTTTACTTTCTTCATAAAAAGTGGTTGTATCTTCCTTAAGTGAAAGAATTCTTCTGGTTGTACCTTTCCGTTTCCCCCGTTATTACCATTATTATTATTATTATTATTATTACACCACCTTACACTAATCTATTCGTTATTGTTCTTTTTTTCTTTCTCTTCGAATTCTCATTGTTTTGTGTGGCGCATATATATTTGGTGCCCTCTTGTACCAATATTTATGTGTTCAAATAAAATAAAATAAACAGAGAAACAGAAGTTGCTTCAAGTTGACACGTACAATCGTACATTCAGACCACACTGTAGTGCGATGTCATATATCGTTAAAACTATACGGTTCACTTCCATTATTACCTACTATTTTGATCTTGGCTGAATGACAAAAACTAGGAAGTAAGTGGTTAAATACTAACTAATAAAATGTTGCTATATTATAATAACGTCAGGCGTTAGCTTCATAAGAACAAAATAAAAATCGAAAATACGACTAATACAACAACAGTTTAGGATTTTATTTTAAGCATAAAAAATGCAAGGTAAAATATAAAACTATGAAGAAATCACAAAAATCTCTGATTTATACACATTGAATTACGACAGAATATATATACATAAGGTTTAAATACATTGAAAAAATTATGATGGATTTAAGTAACCACCAGATACAAAAGAAATACCCTCTTTAGATAGATTACTGTAAGCGTTCAAAATAATGGTACGGTTTTTAATCGGAAGTCTCTCATATAAAGGTTTAGAGGATAACGGATGATCCAATGATTCTTCTCTATCATTTAACCATTTTACGACCATCCCAGGATCATTACGTCTCAAAATACTGGGAGAAAAACCAAGCCCACTACGATGAGCAACAGTCTGCGGAGAATCAAACACAGATCGGATATATACAGATTTTGTTGCGTGTCCTATTTTACAGGAGTTTGATCCCCCACTGAATAACTGCTTGTTAGAACTGCGTGAGATTCGCTCCCCGTAGTAACCAAGACCCTTCCGAACTCTGGGTGGAAGACTACCTTCACAAGTTATAGGAACTTTTATCCCCGAAGAAACTTTAGGATGACCTCTTTTAGCTCCGAGTCCAGTACCTGGAATCCAACCCATCCGTTTTAATAGTTGCCCACCATAACCCTGCCGAAAACGTTTAGGAGAGTAGGAAAACTCAACATAATTTACTGGTGACAAATTTAAACAAATAGACTGTAAACACAACATTTTTCTACATTCTTACCGCATCCTTTTTTAAAGTTCCTACTTACTTACGCCTGTTACGCCTCGTGGAGGAGGATTTCGTTTTTGTTTTGTAGAAACAGTAAACGGTCATTGTTATACGAAATTAGGTAAGTAGAAACACAACCAACAGTGTGGTTTCAAATAATTTATGACAAAATTACACTTCCAAACCAAGACTTAATACTAATTGTAAACAATCTCAATTTACAACCTAAACACGATATATGATGCGCTACACAACATGATATACCTTTTGTCGATAGTAGTTAATAATCAACTCATATATTTAACGTTCACTTTAGCTGAACAGTAGAGAATCGAAATGCATTCAAAGGTAGATTATTAGCACTTAATGAGTTACCTTATCTAAAAGTGGATCCCTAATTAACTATTTCATCGATAATATCGCTGATTATAATCTCTGTTGTAAGTCATACCCGGTAAGTTTAAACATATATTTATTATTGACTGAACTTGCTTTCAAGTACTCGGTTTTAGACAACACGTTTACGAGGGCTGGAGATACTACACAGATATCTAAACCAAAGTTGGTAGATTGAGGCTTGGATCGGTGATCCATTGGTTTCCCAATCCCAAAGCTACTACTTTATACAAATATTATCATTTTTCCATATTTTCGCCACTTACTAATTTAGAAATACTAAAACCCTAGCAAAAACTAGATGACAAGAGACGAATCATATACAAAACGTCTTCATGAAGGCACATAATAATCAAATTTAAAATTAATAATCATTCCAAAAAGCAAAATGAAGACTCAAATAAGAGAGACTCTCAATTTCCATTGTAGAGCATATCAGCTACTTTAGATCGATCGAAAAGGTATTTCAGTCTGTACCAACATGTATGTGGATTATAACTTGACGCAAACACCTTTCATCCGATTATACTATTTCAACCAAACTAAAATTTGGACCGCAATATAAGTCAACTGAACAGGTTTCACTGTTAAAACATACTACCGAATCTCGACGCGACTTATATAATCCCCCTATCTTACTCAAGTACCTTAACAGTGAGCAATGAAAGGATACGGCAAATTTCCTGGTATTCCCAGTCTGTAACTGCCATTTCATTTTACAAATTAGTCTGTTTGAGTAGTCAAGTAGTCTTCCAGTGATTTTTTGTACCTCGTTTCTAACAGAAATATATACTTGAAAATTTCACAAAAGAATATTTATTAGACTAAAAACTAAAAGGACCAAGAAGACTCACTTTGGTAATTACTTCGCTGGTAAAAAGGGCATACGGATTATGTGCAAGGTCTTGAACACGAATAGATTCCCTTTCTCGATTTATATCAATAAGTTCAGCTGTATCTCTATCTCCACCCTGAAATCCATTTGGACATGGACCCGTACCAATGCCAGTTGGTGTTTCATATGGCTGCATGTCTATATCCCAATCGAAAGATGAGGGTTCGTCAAAAATTTCTTCTTTTCTTAGTGGGTCTAACTTCTCCCAAGTACGTTGATCAGTGTGGAAAACTAGGCCAGATCCACCCTTTTCCCAAACAAGTTCAATTTTACTTTCATACTTTAACTGTGCCTTGTTCCCTCTGTCTAAATTGTACGGGTCGTCGTGTAATGCTTCGAAACGATCCCATTCTTCTGGGATATCATCCTCATCCTCAAAACTAATTGGGTCTGAAACTAATTCTAAAACATTACTGGAGGGTGCACGACGCTAAAACAGAGTTTTTAAATTTAAATTACTAAAATTGAAAGAAAAACTAAGTATAAAGAATTAAACAAATTTTTGCTATAGCGAATGGTGTAAAGCTTCTAGAAGCACATCCAAAGACATTCCTATCATGAAGAGACTTTAATTACTTTTAAGATAGTAGTGAAACAGAAAATATTCATTACAGAGACCATTACGTTAGCGTCAAAATAAGGAAAAAACAAAAACTGAATACAGAATAACTCTAAAATCTATAGAAAAATGACACATTTTAAGTTATTGTGACTATATGAGTCCCGCTAAACCAAAGGCCACATTAATGTAAGCACGATTCCAAATGCTGTCCCTTTAACTGTTGAAACAGCGACAACTTTTTATAGACAATGATGAACTGTGTAAGTTATTGTTTTTATGAACCCTATTTGATTTACTGTTACAGAAATCAGCGTGTGTTGAACAAACAACCAAAATATTACAAACTACTTGTATGCGCATTTCTCAACCACATCTGTAGAGGGGTTACATAGAAGTTCTAAGGTGAGATTTGAAATTAAGACTCCATTGTTAAGATTTTACACCTTACACCACTATGTCAGGTCTACTCATGGAATTCGAAACTCTTGATTTTAAACACTACATTGGTCAAACAAATTTTTATATAGTTATCACAAACAAATCTTTGTATCTTTCTACAATTCATGTCTAAGCCGCTTCTAATTCTCGCCCCCGTCGATCCAGGGTAACCGCAAAACATCTTCGAACTTCACTTAGTTAGAATCAGGTTACAAGCTTTTAATGCTAAACCAAATCAATAACCAAGTGGATGTTCTTATACATCAAAACCCTAATTGTGTGGTGATGGCAACATATGACGGTCTAAAACAAAAGCGTTTTTTACCTATGGCTCAAGTCAGGCACTTAAGATTCTGATTTACAGAAATTTAGATGTATTCAAGGTGATCACTTAGTTTTTTGAGCCTACCACTATATATGTTGGATACAAATGTTGATATAAATGAAGTGTTAGTCAGTTGTCTACTCAAGTCAATTAAACAACGAACATGAGATTATAAAGGGTACATACAATAAACTATCCGTGGAAATTTACCATCTGAAATTCTTCAATCAGTACAAAGAATTTATAGCAACAAAACTAACAGTCCACTACCTACAGAAAGTTGAATACGCACTTCTGTGTAGTCGCAACTTTTACTGATGGAAACAGCTATTAAACTGAAGAGCAATAACATGCCGACGTTGAATATTCTATCAATATGATTTGTAAACTTCTATGGGATGTAAGTTATAGAATCGCGTAACAATTTACATATCCTTAGCAAACACCATACAGGAGCTTTCGGTAGACCAAAAAATATTTCACACACATCACACATAACATGAATCTAACATACCTTATTAGGAATATAGGAATTACAGACGACACCACATTCAAAGTCAGCATTATTTGATTCCGAAAATTGAAGCCTTTCATCTCCTGTACTTAAACTTTCATAAATGAAAGGAACTGCACCATATTTGCGGCTCTTAGCTTGAGTAGAGAAGTCTAAATTAAGCTTGGAAATGATTGAACTCTCCAGTTTACACTCTTTGATCAGACTGAAAAAGTACTGAGTAGGTGTCCCGACGTTCCCACGAGGCATCCATGATAGTGGTCTGAACTCAGGTAAACAGCTAAATTCTACAAAAACATAATTAATATAAACGAATTGTCACTTACGTTCCACAGTTGCATAGTCTAATAAATGTAAGGTACATTTCAATTCTAAAGGCACATCGTCATTCTCATTAGGCCAATTAAGACCACTGTATAAACGAAAAAGCTCTTTGATATATTTTCCGTAGATAGAGAAAATAGCACAGCACGTTGTTTTGCTTTTGGCAACTAGTTTGATGGACTTAAGGAACTTGGTTCCATCTATTTCAGTAGTTGGTTCTATACCCACGATATCTGGTCTGTGACGATAGTGAAAACATGAAAATTTAGATGACTCAACGAATTGTGAGAAAAAATTCCTTAAATTAGAAGCGTGGTAAGACTTAGGTATGCCGGAAATCAATAGAAGTTTAGTATCTTCTGCGGAAATTGAACAGGAATCACTAATGTTGTTAGGATAACTCGCATTCAACATCGGATTCCGCAAAGTCGACTTTCGAAACTCTCTTGAAAACAGAAGTGTTTTCAGCTTGTGTTGATGAGCGTAATAACGAAAATATCGATAATCAGATTCAAGATATTTCTACGCCTCCGGTCTTTCATTGGGCATACTGTTTGCTAGAAGGAACTGGTGAGCTTTAGGACTTTCGGGATCTGTTTTTGAACTGTATACGTTTCTTGTCTAGGGAGAGGTATATTTCTTATTTCAGTCTCATGGAGACCTAAAAAGATGAAAACATGAGTTAATAATAGTTGTCGAAAAATGCGGCACTAACATAAATGTTATGGTTGCTTTTTTATAGTATTCCAATGTTTTTTAAATACTCGAATGCATTTTCCTTATTATTACCTGTCAAAATGCAACCAGTCGTCAAGTTCACATATTTCTATCGTTAGCTAAACGGCAAGGCTGACTGACATGCACGTCGTAACCTTGAAGTCACCAACTCGTTTCTGACTGGTTCGGGAGCATTCTTTAGGTTAACCATGACATTTTTTAAAGAAACGGCAGATAATATCAGTATTTCTTTCCGTAATGAAACACATAGTTTACAGTTTCCAACCGTAAAAACGTATGATATGAAAACTTCCTGTATACTCTGTGAGGCATTTGAAGTGCATTGATAGATGTATTTCATTATCAGAAGAAACTTGTCATTTGATTCTTATAACGTTCGGAATCAATAAAAATACATATGGTGGAACAAAAATGTGAAGCTAAGACGATGCTTGAAATAATAAACTATACCTGCTTTTAAGGCAGACTGTGTGCTAAAGTACCTAATATGGTTCAATGAGTAACCGAGTGTCTAAATAAATTGGATAGTATTTTCCCATTCCAACCCTTCTGCTAGATTTTGATCCTAAGTTTCTCAAGCTTGTAAACAGAGGGTTGACGAAGCAATGCATTATAACTGATGTCGGTTTCTAATAAAAACCACCACCCTCATTTGTACACTCAACATAGAACTCCAGCACTACTCATAATACAACTTCCTAACCTTTTCTAAAATATAACCAATGCCATATGATGATGATAACTACGGGGTGATAACCCGAATTATGAACATTATCCCGACTTTCAATATGTAAACTTGAACTTTTTCCTTTACTAAAAAATTCATTTGGCATGAGTGTTGATTGATCAGATCAAAGTTGTTATTCCAATGTTATTTTATTGCGTCTTGTTGTTAATTGTTTGCAACTATGCAGCTTATCCTCATTGACTGATAAGTCACTCTGGTTCATCAGTATGCCGTACTTTCATATCGCACCAATAATATCATGGCGGAATGGAGTCATTTAAAAGATTTTCTACGTCCGCATGGACGCTCCAAGAAGAGCTTTTGAGGAGCCACATGAGTTTTGGTACGAATGTTTCCGTATTCTAATGCAGGAGATCCCACTAGGAACTTAGACGTTCATTAACAACATAAAATAAATTGTCCGCAAACATATTAAACCCTCTATATTTGAGCTTCGTGATTGAGTAACTGAGTCTAATGATTCATTAGTGTGTACAGCTTGAGATCAGGAAGTATAGTTTAACGTTTGGTTAAAATAGGATAGAATTTCGGTGAAACGAAACGCAAGGCTTGATGTCAATTCTTAAATTCTAACATTGACATCACGAACTCCAAATACTCATTGTAATCTGTGCATCAACATGATTCCGTACAGATCCCATTTGATAGATCGGAATTGTTTAGCCACCAGAATTTTATGACTTCCAATTACAGTTTTTTTCAAATTGAGATGCCTTTATTAAATATTGAAACGTCACTCAATGCTCTCAGTATAGTATAGTTAAAACACCAGAATATGCTACGAACCACCAATAACAGCGCAGCGTATAGCTTGAAATTAGTGCTATAGTTAAACGTACAATCTTTATCCTTAAGTATTATAAGTCGGTTGATCTTTATTAATTATCGTTACTAGTATTCTCAGCATTGCTATGCACAGCCGTTTTCAAGTCGTGAAATAATATATGTTCAGTACTTCTTTGTTTCTTGCAAGTGCATGTATGCACTTGTAGTGACTTGCATTTATCACGAGAACACGACTGGTTTAATAAAAACAATTATTATTATAACCAACTGTACCAGTGCTTGTTTTAATGTGCTTTTGTTTGACTGTGCTAATGACAGCTATATTTTGCTTCCATTCTTATACACACACTTTTGATTGTAACTTCGCGCGAATTCGATTACGTTCTGTAACCAGGTTTGTATCCTGGCACGATCTCGGTATCCTTTCGATACCACGAGATCGCCAGCGAATATATCTCGATTTGGTCCATTAACTGTCTTCTGATATTTGGCTTCTCGGGGATTTTATGGATCTATTTGGTTACGTTCAACCTTCGCCTTCTGATTTATTTGGCACGTGTTTCTCTGTTGAGGTGTTCATAGTCAACCGCGACTCGACACTACGCTACACACTTATCCTGAGGGATATGTGTTTCTTTGATGATAAAGTGGAGGCTATTTTTATAACCAGTATCCATTAGCACACACCAAGGCAGTCTAACTAATTCATTTGGATCAGTTCGGAGTTCAAGATGGTAACTCTTGCTACATATTGTTCTTCGGCATCGGCGATTTTTGACAACAGGAGTGTCAATGACATGAGCACCACTTAAAATTCGTTAAAAGAGAGAAGAAACTGTACTGATAAATCGATGTTCAAAGTAAACAGTTCTGTATATCTTCCACTTTTGATGCGGAACTGATTAGTTTTAATGGAAACACCTAGCGGAATGTTTTCGGTCACACGTCAGCACCAGATCATGAGCGGGTACACCATACAACGCTTCTTCTCAGACCATTACCCAGCTTAGACCTAACGCTTCTCGACACATCGGTAGCCTTTCGAATATAATGTCGGGTCTCTTTACTTCTGACCTCTGATTCGACTGGTTTGGCATACTTCGATCATAACGGAGTCAATGACATGGGCGTTTTTAAACTCCAGATACTTGTTGCATTTTCATGTGCTTTATTTTATTGTTCTGACCGACAGGCAGCATTTATGATGACGTCCATTGATGTCTTTGGCCATATTGTGTGCTCTAATTGCGATGTTTCTGTCCTCACTTTGAAGATCATCAGAAACTATTTGAGGAGAGAGCAGTTACTTTATCATTCATATGTTGTTTAAAGTTCGTTAAATGTCGACACCTAAAATAGAGATACGAAGTGAATTAGTTGAATGTACCGATCTCTTTACTAACCTTGGAATTTCAGTAGTGATGATTGAATAAAATTTGGCTATCAACACAAATTATAATAATAATTTAAGAAAACATATGAACTTAGGTGACTTACACCGGACGTTGAATGCTTGACGAAAAGTAATGAAAGTCGGTCATGGTAGACGTAAGAATATTCCCGAGGCTACCTGGCTGAACCCTACACTCGTATTCACCTCAAATGTACATCTTTTGTCCTTATGTATTACATATTTTTCTGTCGGCGAGGTTATATTCATTGGTCGAATCAAGGTAAGAAATAGTGTTTCCTCGGCGTAAGATCATGTAAGTCAGCAAGTCATATCTTGACTAGTCAACTGCAGTATACCATGTCTGTTAACTTAATGGCATAAATGGATTAATTAACAACGACTACAGACTCAAGTACTGCATATCCTTTATTGGTTACGTGATTTAAATTCGAAAAATACCGTGTTCCAGAGAGAGTTGCATGTAGGTCACGTTTTTTGATAAATTTGTGTCACATCCATAAAATCACAATCCCATTTTTTTGTTCAGTGGTATTCATATGGATTCTCTTATTGTAATAATAATGAGTATTCACAGTGAGCATACTAACTTAATCGATAAAAATAACTAGTCGATTGTGGCCGTGATTATCTGTTTTGGTTCTTCATTAAGCTTTACAAGCATTCAAATGCTTCGGGGTAATGACTTTGTTTGGACACCAAACACTTTTAAATACGGCACCTGGTAAATGTAAATATATGGAACCTTTGTGTACAAAATCAAGCTCACAAACTTCATACAGGTAGACACCCCTCGGTTTATCTATAGGGGAAATTAGACCAGTGGTTCAATAAATGTTCATTCAAATCTTGCAACAAAACATACAAATTTCAACGTTCATTTTAGAATGATGGGAAATAAAATGGGTACACAAAAAAGCAAATGAATACTTGATTAGTAATTTTTGACATTACAAATAAGTTGTTACAAATCAATGTAAGCAGGCATAGAATTGCCGGCTGGTCCTAATTCCCTCTTATTTCTTCCTTGTGAATCTTACTCCAATCCTAATTATGAACTAACATCCGACATACTTTGGGGACACTTGCCTAGCTAATTTTTAGTGCCCTGACTTCACTGTCAAAAAGAATAGCGTGTCAGAAGCTTACGATGAGTTCGACCAAAATGACTTCTTTAGTCTCAATTTTGTTTTGAACTATTTATTTAGACGAGGACATATATTTATTTCGAATTCTCACTAGACCTGTGCTAAATCAGTCTACAGAAGCCTGGTAATTTGAGGACTAAAGCAAAATTACCTCGTTCTAGGCTCATTTTCTTTCGGATTTAAATTACATTGAAAGATTGTCTAAAAAATTTATCAAAGAAGTGGCATCATATAGGGATCGTGATGAACATCATGATCATATTTTTCTACGAATTTACCTACAACAAAACAACATAAAACCTGACCATTAAAGACTTCAATCCATCCATATTTGTGGTACGGAACATTTGTTTGTTTCAGGCTCCTTATGATTGGGGACGAGGTAGTCAGTAACCATGTTGAGGTTGCTCTCCTACGCTCGCTACTTAGACCAACGTTTCAGATTTTATGATAAATTCGCTATCCTACTAAGATATTTTATAACATGCTAACTCACACTTTTACATTATGACCAAGTGGCGGACATCAGGTGGAAAAGATAAAAGCAACAGACAACAAAAGATTTAATTTTTACTGTTTCTTAACACTTTACTCTCCTGATGCACTTTCCATTCTAATACATAAACATCCTTATTCTAACTACAACTTCCCTTCCATCAGTTGAACACACGATACCTTGTTACACATCACGACTCATATTTTTATTATTGTATTCACTTATATGTAGGTTCTTACCACAATGCACTTTGGCAACAGTATGAGTTTTATCCACTAGTCTATCCTATTTTTGACTGGTCAAATACAAACTGTTAAGTATTGTTTAAAGTTTATATCTGAGTGCCCTGCTGCTCTTCGTTTCCTTTTTTCGGCATTACGCTTTCAGTACACAGCAATGGAGCTTCTGACTCCTAAAGAAAACTTAACGTATACGTCTTTCTAGGTTACAGCTCATAGTGGTCCTGTAGTGGCATTGGACAATAGCCACACAATCCACAAAGCTGTGAACACGAGACTACTCAGAAAATAAATATTCAATATTTAACGCCGAGAAATACCTAAAAATGGAGAAGGCGCGAACAATGAATTGAATGGACTGGAGTTGATCGAGTGGCATGGCTCGGCCATGCAGGCGTGGTCTCTATTCATATTAAATATATTGTTCTTTCTCTAACCTAACCTCGTTCTTCATCATGTATTGGTAATTGATACGATACAGTGAGTTGGCGTAGTCGATGGTGTGACTTCCACGTAAGATCTTATAGATTAGGCAGTTATATCATGACGAATCTACAAATTTAGGATTAGGTCTATTATTAGAGCAGTACTAATATCATAGTAGACCATAGTTCTACATTGGTGAGCCCAACTAAAGAAACGCAACCTATTATTATTAATCCTTATTTCCACTTCAACTTTCTCGATCGATTTTATATTCATGTTAACCCTGTATTCTAATAGTCCTCTGATTAATGCTCACATGCATCATTTTAATGTTATATTGATCAGTCCTCATGACAAACTAGCTCAATTGATAATAAAAACTGGTCGTCTATATTAACTAATTAGCTTTGATGGTTTGTTAACAAGCTGTAATAGCATTTACATGCTTCAGCGACATAGTCTTGTTTAAACATCAAGCTCTAGCAAATATGACCTGTAAATAGCGTAAATATACATTGACTAACAATGCGATTAAGGACTAAATAGTTATGTGGATCTAATTCTCAGTGTTCCTTCACTTAACACCTCATCCTGTTTTAAAACGATGCACTATCCTGTAATATCTTTTCTTCTGACCACTGCCTGCCTAATTTCATATTCTCGAGTTCCATTGCCAAACAACGAGGATGACTACTCCAAAAACATACGGTGAGTTTCAGCTATAAGTTTTCTGCAATCATTTTTAGATGGTTCGTTCAATGACAACCATACAATTATCTGGATTCATTCGATTGTTCTGATCTGAGCGAGTGTCAAAAACCTCAACAGCATCAAGCACCCTGGAATTAATTGCCATACTGCATGTTTTATTCTGGATGCTTTTGGATCAATACTACTCACGAATGGCGTTATATATGTCGTCCACTGAATAATCTAATTTTCAAAAATAACCCAGCTTACCAATACCCGGAGGATTCTTATTATCCTTGGCAACCTCCGGCGCGCGACGATCCCATCCAATTTGGTATCGAACCAACATCACGTTGATTCTGGTGGGAGAGTAGTGTAGTGGCATTGGACAATAGCCACACAATCCACAAAGCTGTGAACACGAGACTACTCAGAAAATAAATATTCAATATTTAACGCCGAGAAATACCTAAAAATGGAGAAGGCGCGAACAATGAATTGAATGGACTGGAGTTGATCGAGTGGCATGGCTCGGCCATGCAGGCGTGGTCTCTATTCATATTAAATATATTGTTCTTTCTCTAACCTAACCTCGTTCTTCATCATGTATTGGTAATTGATACGATACAGT